GTGCTGCTGATGGATACTTGACAGATGATACAGAATAGCTCATCAGAGATGAATCCCTATGTGGAGCAGTAGGGGCATGTGGTTTTCCCTACCCCCTGTCTGCTAATGTTTGCTTTTTTACTTGAGATATGCTTGCTTTTCTCTGGTCTAAAAATGGCAATTTGTGGATATGGCTTCTATTTAAGGCCACCCACACAAGAAAGAAGGGAAGCTGAAATATGCTCACTATGTCTGTTGTTTGTTTGAGTTTTCATGTTGCTATGTGCAGTATAGAATCAAATGGGTGTCAGGTTTATTCCTTTCCTAATTTTCCAAAAAAAAAAAAAAGATACCCTTTATGAATGTTTCTGAAAAGGAGAACATTATCACATTTAGTATAACAACCTATTCTGCCATTGGGCTGTGTATTAATATTCTATGAATAAAAAATTGTTTTTTAATCATATTTTTATCTTATTATTCATTCAGATCTCTCAAGGAGGTATACAATGTTTTCTGTTGCCAATGTTGTCTTTACAACTGTACTGTGAAATAAGCCAAGCCAAGCATCAATGAGTAAAACATGGTTGCTCAAAAGACTTTGTAACAGAGTAGACAAATCCAAGCAATCTTCCTTATCCAATGCACATTCAGTGATGGGAGTGAGTTACTTTTTTAAAGTAACATTCCATACTCCAGTCACCCGCATCCATTACAAGACATTGGCAAAAACTTTTCAATTCTCCGCCCCCTTCTTGTAGTAACTCATAAGATGGCAAATATTTCCCCCAGAAAAATAATAGGTAACTGGCTGATATACTAGAAGCACAGTATAGAACAGCGTTTCTCAACCTAGGGGTCAGGACCCCTGAGGGGGTCATGAAAGGGTGTCAGAGGGGTCTCCAAAGACCATCAGAAAACACAGTATTTTCTGTTGATCATGTGGGTTCTGTGTGGGAAGTTTGGCCCAGTTCCATCGTTGGTGTTCAGAATTCTCTTTGATTGTAGGCAAACTATAAATACCAGCAACTACAACTCCCAAATGTCAAGGTCTATTTCCCTCAAACTCCATGGATGTTCACATTTGGGCATATTAAGTATCCGTGCCAAGTTTGGTTCAGACTTGTTTGAGTCCACAGTACTCTCTGGATGTAGGTGAACTACATCTCCAAAACTTAAGGTCAATGCCCACCAAACCCTTCCAATATTTCCTGTTGATCATGGGAGTTCTGTGTGCCAAGTTTAATTCAATTTCATTGTTGGTGGAGTTCAGAATGGTCTTTGATTGCAGATTAACTATGAATCCCAGCAACTACAACTCCCAAATGACAAAATCAGTCCCTCCCAACCCCACCAGTATTCAAATGTGGGCTTATTGGGTATTTGTGCCAAATTTGGTCCACTGAATGAAAATACATCCTGCATATCAGAAATTTACATTACAATCCATAACAGTAACAATATTAGTTATGAAGTAACAATGAAAAAAATGTTATAGTTGGGTGTCACCACAACATAACGAACTGTATTAAGAGGTCACACCATTGGGAAGGTTGAGAACCACTGGTATAGAAGAACCAGGGCTTGCAGGATCAAAGTACTCAGACTTTTTTAAAACCAGGACAACAATAAACAAGGACAACCATCCCCCCATTCTCCCCTATTCCCTCTGAATGTAGCTGCAACCCTCACAGTAGCAAGAAGGAAGAGATGCATTTTCCAAGCAAATACTCTTGTTGTGAGCTTTCCCAACTGTAATATGAAGTATTTTGGAATATATTTATCTTGAATTGGAAGTTATTGCTAAGTATAGTAACCTTATTTTTAAAAAAAGATGATAAAACCTACTGAAACCGGTTTGTTGACATGGATCAAGGCAGCCTCTTGCATTTTTTGATTCTTCTGGAGAGTATGACTAAGAGGACTCTCATGATAAGCAAGTGCTCTTCAAAATTTTGCATCACATCACTGTGCTATCCATTATCTTGGCTGGTACAATAAGAAAAACTGATATCATCATATGTTTAAGTAGGATGCCTTCTATCTAATATAGCTATTGAGTGCCCATGATGGATGCTGCTGTTTTCATATTCTACTGTGAAAAGGCGTTATCTATGGCCTCATATTCCCTCAAAGGAAAAGTTTTGTGGGTCTATGCCAATCAGATGCAATGCCTACAAATAGATTATACTCCATACCTATGGGAACTCAGAAATGCACAGAAGTATTTTTTTACCATTATATCCCCCAAATTAGGTGCCATCCAGCCATTTATCCATTTTGCCTTCATATTCCCAGATGGTACGTTTAAGTCAGGAAGAGAAACAGTGGCAGTTCCAGGGGTTGGTTTTTTACCCCAAGTTTCCCCACTGAAGGCCATGTAGATTGCCAAAACTACTACAGAAGAAAACAAGGTGTAGAAGTGGCTGGAGTCCACTTTGCTTCTGAAAATTTTAAAAAAAATGTTAAAGAGTGAGACATCTATAGAATAGAGAAGTAGAAGGTGCTACTCCTAAAGACTTAGAATCATAGAATCATAGAATCAAAGAGTTGGAAGAGACCTCATGGGCCATCCAGTCCAACCCCCTGCCAAGAAGCAGGAATATTGCATTCAAATCACCCCTGACAGATGGCCATCCAGCCTCTGTTTAAAAAGCTTCCAAAGAAGGAGCCTCCACCACACTCCGGGGCAGAGAGTTCCACTGCTGAACGGCTCTCACAGTCAGGAAGTTCTTCCTAATGTTCAGATGGAATCTCCTCTCTTGTAGTTTGAAGCCATTGTTCCGCGTCCTAGTCTCCAAGGAAGCAGAAAACAAGCTTGCTCCCTCCTTCCTGTGGCTTCCTCTCACATATTTATACATGGCTATCATATCTCCTCTCAGCCTTCTCTTCTTCAGGCTAAACATGCCCAGCTCCTTATGCCAAGGCAATCCATTGTTTGGTTTGGTATGGTCTGGAGAGGTTGTGGGCCTCAAAAAATCAGCCATATGAGACAATATGCAGCCCCCAGACCTGCATTTTCATCACTCCAGCTATAAGTGAAGGACAAATCTCCCTTGGGAGAACCTGGGCCCTGAAAATCTTGGAAACCAGATGCTCACCAGGCAATCCAATGGACTTTCAGTAAATTTGAAGAGAAAACTGGGTAAGTCAACCAATTAGCCATGCCCCAAAGCTCCACACTCCTGTGCACACAGAGAGCAAATGGCTTCCAGGCATAGAATCAGAGTCGGGAGGAATCTTCCAAGCTGCATCTAGTCTAGCCTCTGCCCTGCAGGGGTACACAGCTAAAGCACTTTAGAGAGATGTCCATCCAACCTCTGTTTATAGATCACCAGAGAAGGAGAGCCTCCAAGCCAGTCTATTCCACTGTCAGTTACTGTTTTGAAATTTACTTCCTTCAGTCCGGATGCTCTAGTTTTGTTGATTCTGCCTAGAATTGTATTAGCATTTTTGGCTAGAGTATAACGTTGTATACCTGTGTTTAATTTGTGGTCTACTACGAACATTAGTTCTTTTTCACATGTATTATTGTCAAGCCAGGTGCCACCCACCCTATATTTGTGTGTTTCATTTTTTTAAATTCCTGCTTAAATGAGGTACTTGATCCTTTTGGGATATGGGCTGAAGTTCTGCATCAAACATGACACAATTGAGTAACCGGATGCAAACCATGTCTTGTTAGTTTTGGCCCAACTCCCAGAACGTTAAGGTCATGTTGAATCCTGAATCTGTCCCCTGGGGTATTAGCTATGCTTCCTAAATTTTGGTTCTACTGCAGATTTGATAAACATGTCCTCTCTTCCAACATTCAAGTTGTTTATAAGATGCTAAACAACATCAGGCCCAATATAGAATTCCAAGGCACTGCACTTGACAGTTATATATGCATAGTTGTTTGCCTAGAGAAACCTCAATCATATGCAGAGAACCAGAAATGAGAACCCCTGAAGATGCAGGTTTGCAGCTTGGGAGTGATCCTGGACTCATCACTGAGCCTGGAACCCCAGATCTCGGCAGTGGCCAGGAGAGCTTTTGCACAATTAAAACTTGTGCGCCAGCTGCGTCCATACGAAATAAATAAATAATAAATAAATGTGCAGTATCTACAATGCATCCAAGGAGGGCACAGAGAGATTTTGCTGGACAAGTTCTGTAAAAGGAGGAAGAGCTTAAAGGAAGGTATTTTAGGGAAATTCCTTTATTGGTCCACTTGAAAGGTATGTGGAAGCCTCCCACCAACATAAAATTCATTTTGTTACTTTCCTCCCTAATGCATTGTGTTTCCCTAGTCCTGTTGCAGACAACTTGTTGCTAATGGTGGGTGTTTAAATGTGGAAACGCGATGATATGTTGACATATATAAGTGCCCTTACTTTTAGAAGCAGTGGAAGAGGACTTGGTAGGAGATGTCCATTAACACTGGTAGCACCCTTTTCCTTGTAAAGTCTAGATATGCTCTTTAGAACAAATTAGTTGAACATTCTGAGTGTCCACAAAAATGTTCTGTAATGCATTATGTCAGAAAACATGAAACTACAGCTGTTGTTTTAAAAATACTCTAGATTCTCATGTAGAAGTCTAGACATTTTGTCAAAATCCACCCAACAAACTGGACCATCATATGCACAGGTCAATGTGATTACTGTTCCTTAACTTTTATCAAAAAGGGAACCATCTTCTCTGAGTAGAATGATGAAGGGCAAGAGCTTAGTCCATCTCAGGACAACCTATAGGAAACATTTATCCCCTGTACTCTCTCTGCTATGGCACATCTTCTTGCCATTTTGCATGCCTGGGTGGAGAAATTGAAAAGAACTGGCATTGGTTCTTTCCCCTCTCTGTGAAATGAACCTCAACTTATCGACAGATCATATCAAAACGAAGAATTTTATTCCCCAAACCTGCTCTCAACTTATATACAAGGTTGACCTATACGTGGGTATATACAGTACACTTATGATAAAATCAGGGAATACAGGGCAACTGACTAATGCAGTCTCCTTTTGGGTGTTTTACAGGTCTTGCTGTCCATTCAGAATGCTGACATGCAGCAAGTAGAGGAACTGGATCGCTTTTCAAAGGCGTCTTCCAAGGGATGTGACTTGGACTCCCCCTTGTGGACATCAATTGGAATAAAACATTCTCAGTTTGGAAAATGGCTGCGAACAGCACACCACACACAGGCATCTTTTCCTGTCAAGACAAAAAAATGGACCCTGTGATATGTTCCCATTATAATTACACTGGAAAGCTGAACCGAGAGAAAGAAACAGGGCTGACAACCATTGCACTACTTATCATTTGCAGTTTCATTATCCTGGAGAATCTGATGGTGCTGATAGCCATCTGGAAGAACCACAAATTCCATAACCGCATGTACTTTTTCATTGGCAATCTAGCCCTCTGTGACTTACTGGCTGGGATTGTTTACAAGGTCAACATATTGATGTCCGGAAATAAGACCCTGACACTATCTTACCGGATCTGGTTTGTTCGGGAAGGCAGTATGTTTGTAGCTCTGGGGGCTTCTACCTTCAGCTTATTAGCTATTGCAATTGAGCGACATTTAACCATGATCAAAATGAGGCCCTATGATGCTAATAAGAAGTACAGGGTCTTCCTGCTTATTGGAACTTGTTGGCTTATTTCAGTTTCCCTGGGCGCACTACCAATCCTTGGCTGGAACTGTATTGGCAATTTAAAAAACTGTTCCACCATTTTGCCTCTCTACTCCAAGCACTATGTGGCCTTTTGCATCATCATCTTCATGGCCATCCTGTTGGCCATTGTAATTCTCTATGCTCGCATTTACATCTTGGTGAAGTCCAGTAGCCGCAATGTCACTAATCATAACAACTCTGAGAGGTCTATGGCCTTGCTTAGGACAGTTGTGATTGTAGTTGGGGTTTTCATCGCCTGCTGGTCTCCATTGTTTATCCTACTGCTGATTGATGTTGCCTGCAAAGTAAAAGAGTGTAGCATTTTATACCAGGAAGATGGGTTCATTGCCTTGGCTGTCCTCAATTCGGCAATGAACCCCATCATCTATACCCTGGCAAGCAAAGAAATGCGCCGGGCATTCTTCCGTCTGGTTTGTGGCTGTCTGGTGAAGGCCAGTGCCACAATGTCTTTGCCAATTCAGCCCACTCCAGATCAGAGTCGTAGCAAATCCAGCAGCAGCAACAACACACAGAAACCAAAGGAAGATTACCCACAGACTAAAGGCTCTCCATGTATAGCTGAAAAAAATGAATCTTCATTTCATAATGGAAACTTCTGCAAATGAAGTCAATGAGTTCTACAAGCCAAGGCTTCTTCTCTGTGGGTTTTTGGACTTATGGAGCCAAATGGAAACCCTCTTAGTGGCATTTCATGCACTTAAATTAGGGCATAGGGTATTCTCCAATTTCTGAATTTCCAGTGCCTAGACCTTGAGTATTCCTTGCCCAAGAAAACCCTATGAAGTTCATGGGTTTGCCATGTGGACTGAAAGGTGATACTTTAAGTAAGTAAATTGATGAATGGTTTGAAGACACATAAACCGACAAATGTTTTGCACAAGCCATTTGAAACCAGAGTTCTACTAAGGAAACTTATAAATGCCACTTCAAGTCCTTACAATGTCTGTGTAAATTAAAATGGGCATATTTTGTCATGTCTTTTTCTGGATACTGATTGACCTCAAATGTATATGCATGAGAGAAACAATACAGTTATTTTATACTGATATATAACATCCAATCCACACCCATGTATATGATGCAAATCTGTGTGAGTTTCCTGTGCCCCATCTACTTCTTGTCTGCTTGGCCCATGTACTGCCTCTCTTCCAGTGCCTTCAAACTCCTTGATCCCCCTGGTTTCTAAATACAATGCAATTCCAAGGATCCATTCATGACATCCTTCTGTTCCAAGCTCATCTTTCACTTGCATCACAGAAGCCGGACAATTTGGCAACATTCTGTGGCTCAGCAGCTCCTCCGCAGCAGCCACAATATTTATGAATATTCTGTAATATCACAATTGCACACATTAATGTGACACAGGGATTAATGCCCCTGAACAAATGGTAGACAACATTTTGCATATTATGTATGCGTATATGTATGCATACAAATTGAATAGCAGGAAATGATACTGTTCACACAGAAAGACAGGTACTAAGCAAACCAACATAGTCCTTCCTGAAATTAATAGGGAGATTATTTCCATTCTGCATTTCCCTTAATGTAGCTCATTGTTCACATATTGGCACTTTGAATATTATTCTGAGATTTGTTATTCCAACAGATAAATTTCAAGTGTCACCCTCTTTATCTTTTTGTTTGTACATTTATTTTAATATGCCAATTGTGTGGCAAGTGTTTACATTATCTGATGTTATAACCTTGATATGCTGTGTACGGTAACCCTCTGTAACATAACAAGTACTGTGAGCGAGCATGCTTCAAATGAAGAAAGATTTCACAAAGTTTTGGAGAAGGGAAAGCACATGCTGTACCAAGCCAGTATTCTGTTCTGCAGTTATCAATGCAAATTTTCTGTAAGTGTAGCTAAATATGGCTGTTATGACTAGAAGCCAATTCTATTTTATTCAGAAATTTTAAATTGACTAGTATACGTTGAGCATCCTTTACCTAAAAATTCCAAAATACTCTGAAATCCAAAAATGTACAAATGGGTGGCTGTGGCTGTGATAGTGATTCTTTTGCCTTCTGATAATTCACTATAGACAAAATTTACTTCAGTATTGTATAAAATTATGCATAAGGTATAAATGAAGCATCAATTAATATGTTTGGATTTCAGTCCCATCTCCAAGGTATCTCATTACATACATATAGAAATGCTCCAAAATCACAAAATCAAAAATGCTGGTCCTCTACAATTCAGATAAGGGATATTCAACCTGTAATTACTCCGTTCATGAATATTTTTATTATTATTAATGAATGTAGTTTAGGGTGCAATTTGGAATTTCATGTCTATATCATGTATATACTTAAAATCAATACATATAGTTTTATTTTACTCCTTGAAAGAGATTTTTAAAATTTAGGACCAATCTATGTTACTGAAGTGGAAAAGGAAATCTGTCCAAGCAATGGCACTGTGTTCCCCAACATACCAAATGTACTTGTGTATAAGGTTTTATTTTCTTTTTGTTTTTTAAATGGCACAATATCATCCCAAAAAACCATAGAGACCCAGCATGAAGGTAGTGACAAGAGATAGAGGTGAGAACCTCCCACTTTATTGCCTCTTTTTGCCCAAACTGGAGAAAGACAGGCAATCCTCCTCCTTTCATTCTTCACTTTTTTCCCCAGCTTGAGCAGCATTTTGTGTAGGTGTAGATCTTTTAAGATCAGTAATGCAATTTAATCCTCACTCCAATTGTAACTCCTCAAAAAAGCATATCCTCTACTCTTTAGCTCTTCCTAAGTATGGCATAATCATCATCATAATCATCATCATCATCATCATCATCATCATCATGTAAAATAAAGCACGTGTATTTCACACGTGATCAGCCCACACACTGCCTTGCCAGAGAAAGAAAATATGCTATATAGATGAACAGTAAAGAACAAGCAGTTTACTCTTTGTAATATATTTACAATCATGTGATCAGTTACATTGACTCACATAATGTCCTTTTAGAGATATTTAAAATTGTCTTTCTTTGTCCATGTGGATAAACTCCTTCAGCAGCTCATAAAGCAAGAGCACACCCCAAACACTGTCTCTCTCTGCTTCTCTCTGCTTCTCTGAAAGCACCTGCATAGCTCAAGCCTGAAAAATATAGCAGTATCCAAAAGTCCCAGGCTCAGCCAGCTCTCCGGGCGTAGCTTAGCCAATCAGCTTCGTGCATCTTATTTTATAGGTGACACACACACTAACTGATTTCTTATATGCTCCGACACTAAGTAAGTTCCTTGTATGCATTTTTAAAAGAAATTTTTTCTTTGTTACATGCTCCAAAGTTTTGCCCTAGATATATCAGAATCCGTAATTTTGGCCCTAAAACCTGACCTTGACTGATACATGGTCAACTTATACACAGATATACATATATAATACTTCCCATATCACTTGGATCTTAGCATTCATTGACAACTGTATCATGCTCTAATTTGAATCAAATAACTTAGTGAGAAATTGCCTGGTGGATTCTGGGAGCTGTAGTCCAATAAAAGAACTTTTCTTTTATGCTTGCAGTACTTGAGATTTCATTCTAGATTCTAAACGGTTTGTGAGTCACAATGCAATGGGCCAGGGGTCGATTTCATAGTTCAGCTGATAGAATGGTTTCCACCCACACTACAGTTTTCCCTTTCCCTTTATCTTCTGTATACCTTTAAAGTCTGCTCGGGAGCATGTTTTGGGGTGATTCAGAAGGCAACATTGGGGAAAGATTTCTGTTACACCAGTATACATCTGTTAAGGTTAAACCAGCTGGTTATTTGAGGGATACTTTCTTTAGCTGGGAGATTGTGAAATGTTTACAAGATTTTGGAAAAAAAGGGGGAGCTCCTTTTAAGATGGTCAACTTTATTGAAAATCTATGCCTAAGGGCGCAATCTTCAACCTACTTAGATGAAAATAAATGCCATTGAAAACAAGGGCGGATCCTATGGGTTTTCTTGTCCCCCCAGCTACTTAATGTCTATCATTTATAGTTGGTTTGCATAGTTTTTACCATGAGTTTAGAATCTTTTCAAGAGCTCAGTACATTGACTTCTGGATCTCTGGACAAAAAACAAGAGAATGTAGTGAAACTGTGAAAAGAAACCAGGCAGTATAAAGTGACATACTGAATAAAAACTGCTAAAAGCAGCAAGGTCCTCATTCTTTCTCTCTCATTATAAATGCAGCAATACAGCAACATGTATCATGACAAGGATACTGAAATCATAGACATGAAATGGGCCATGGATGTATATGTTAACTTTCTTAAATTGTAATGCAGCTATATATTTTGTTGCATTGCATGATGCACCACTTTCAACTTACAAATGAATGTTTTGCTATGTTTCCTGGCATATTGGAGGTCATTCTTCTCCAATGAGTAATTGCTCTTGACATTGCACTGAGATAGCATATACACACTCTGAAAATGTATTACTTACTGCATTAAAGTATTGCAAACCGCAGATAGGACATAGCACATCTAAAGGAAATATAACCTAATCCTGCCTATCTTTACTGAGAAATTAAACTTGGTTTCTATGCATGCATCGGAATGAAGACATAATGAGGCAGTACTTAGATGAGACAATATATTATACAAAGCTTTGAACATGAGATTTGAATGTTAATTCAGTAATGTTATACATCTGCACTGAGCTCCATCTCCACCAACCATAAAAATACATACCCAGGGATAATTGGATATTATGTCTGTGTATGTCACTAACAATATTTCAACCATCATTGATTCACTCTTCTTTAAAATTTCAGATCTAAATTCTGTTGTTAGTCCTACCTAAAGTAGATTCATTGAATCAATTGGATTTACCCATCTGATCACTTTCCATTAAATTTCAAAGGATTCCAGCCTTAGTCTCTAGACATGGGATTTACAAACGGATAATTTACCTGAAACCATATAATGTCAATCCATTTAAAATTAATATCTAGCAACAAAGTTGTATATAATTAATCTGGCAAAACACAAATAATGGTAATACAAGTGCTTTTTCATGTCAGAAGCGACTTGAGAAACTGCAAGTGGCTTCTGGTGTGAGAGAATTGGCCATCTGCAAGGACATTGCCCAGGGGATGCACAGATGTTTTGATGTTTGATCATCCTTGTGGGAGGCTTCCCTCACGTCCCCGCATGAGGAGCTGGAGCTGACAGAGGGAGCTCATCCGCACTCTACCTGGATTCAAACCTGCGACCTGTCGGTCTTCAGTTCTGCTGGTGCAAGGGTTTAACCCCTTGCAACACCGGAGCCTAAGGAACAAAAAAAAACTGTCATCAGAATGTATTTACAATATTTAATTGTATTAATTAAAGTAAGCGGAAGTGGCATTATATCAGCCTTTCAAAAGCATTTTACATTTTTTCCTGTTCCAGGCAGATAATAGTGTGATGGCTCAACTGGCAGTCTGGGACTCTGAACTACATCAATCTGTGGCCCTGTGCTTCTGCCCCTTTGGAAAGTACCATTGGGAGCTTGCCAGGAATAAGAGTTTGCAGTTATCCTGCAAGCATGTTTCTTGCTTCTCAGAGTCCTTTTGGGAAAGGCATAAAAGCTAGAAAGGAACTAGAGCAAGCAGGGGGCTCTGTTCAGAAATTCATAATGTAAAAAAGAAAAGTCAAGGCTGTCAGCAAATCTTGAAATAGAGGCAAAGTATTTGGAAGAGAGCAAGGAGCCATCTGGGCCCGGACTCTGCTCAGACGTGGACTTATCCACCCAACAATTTCTGCACAAGCCACAGTCTGCTGGAGGGAGGAACAGCTGCACCACAGGAAGAGACATGCAAGGAGGAGAGTGGCTCTAAATTAGTTCTGCAAGCAAAGCAACACCACATATTGGAAGAGTAGGCATAGAGAAAACAAATCTCAGGGACCACAGACTGCCTAATGTCACTGTATGTGAATATGCATGCATGTAATCCCTTTCCAATTTTAAAAATCGATGTCAGATAGACTGCAAAATACTGGTCTTTTACACGTTATCCAAACACCTATGGTTATAACTTTGTTGGATTGTGGCTGTTTTTCAAATGTATCTTTTTGATGTTTGCAGAAATGATAACTGCAACTTCTTCCTCCCAGGATACCCTTGGAATGATGCAACATAATGGTATGACATTGCAGGAGGGAAAAGGAGAAGAAATAGAAGCCATTCCTGGCAGTGGCAGCTATTCAATTAGCCCCATTAGATAGCCATTCATCACGACGAAGCACCAGTCTGGGGGCATTTGGCTCTGACAGGTAGAAAGTTTTTGTGCTACTAAGGGTTCTGTTGTGGCTGTGGCAAATAATAAAACTTGGAACCCGCCTTGACTCAACACATTAGCCTTCAAATGGTATGGCAAATTCAGGAGTGCCATTTCAGTATAACAACAACAACAACAACAACAACAACAACTTTATTTTTATACCCCGCCGCCATCTCGCCAAGGGGACTTGGGGCAGCTTACAAAGGGAACAAACCCAAAAATTACAGATGAAAACAAGACACATTAAAATCAATCAAATAAAAATAATAAAAACCTAACACAATAAAAAAACCAACATCCTAAAACAATGTGGCTAAGATAAAAGTCATGGCTGGATTCAGGCTCAATGAGTGCAAATAATTCCTAAAAGGAGCCAATGAAAAGTGTGAAGATCAAATGTATGCAAACTTGGGCATAACCTTAGCAAAATGACAAGGAACCAATAGGAGGGCCGGAATAAAGTGCAAGATTTAGGGTGGGTCAAGATAATACTCTAGTGAACTGCCTAATCAAACTATTTGACTTATTTATTTGTATTAGGCATCTACAGTAACACTAAGAGCAAATGACAACGATTCACTTTGAAGTCCAGTTCAGATCTGAGCCCAGTTCAGTTTAAATGGTTTTTAACTCAGTTCCACCCCCAACCTGGATCTCAAGTTGTAATCAAGATTCAGAATCCAGCTCACCTTTGACTTTAACTTCTGCATGCAGTGATGTTTGTCCTAGTATTATCCAGATGGTATTAGCAAACCTTCTTACACCATCTAGGTTGAGGATTCCTAAATTCTGCATCTGAACAAGTGGGCTAAATACGGCACCAGATCCCTTCTGATCTTGGATGCTAATCTGGGTCAGCCTGGATTAGTACTTAGATGGGAGTCTGTCTGCCAATGAATACAAAGTACTGTAGATTATATTTAAGAAGGGACTGACAAAACCATTTCTAAGTATTCTTTGCCTAAGAAAACCTTATGAAATTGTAATCAACCGGGAGTGTTTTGATTGAGTGGCCCTACATGGCAGAAGGATGGACTTGTGGTCTCTCTACCAAACTCTTAAAATTCTTTGAAATCCAT